GCACTGTAGGAGGGTCAGTGCTGAGGGAGCGCCGCACTGTCGGAGGGTCAGTGCTGAGGGAGTGGGCACTGTCGGAGGGTCAGTGCTGAGGGAGCGCCGCACTGTCGGAGGGTCAGTGCTGAGGGAGGGGGCACTGTCGGAGGGTCAGTGCTGAGGGAGTGCCGCACTGTGGGAGGGTCAGTGCTTAGGCAGCGCCACACCTCGTTTGAATCCTGCTGTCCTGTGTCCCTGACTTTCTGAATAAATTATGCTGTTTAATAATGGAGAGCAGCTCACAAGCTTGGAAACCATCTGTGAGCTCCGATTCCATGGATGGCATTGTTGCTGCAATGATAGCTGCTTTGTCAGAGCTGTTTCCAGTCTCAGTACCAATCAGGAGACTTTCTAACCCACTCAAATCAATAGTGCAAATATTTATTGCCCGTCCCTAGCTGCCCCTGGAGGCGGTGATGGATAGCTGCGTTCTGGAATTTCTGCAGGCCATGCAGTGTGAGTACCGTTCATGGCAGAGTCTGGAGTCTACATCAGCCTTTTTTGAGGGAAGTTTAGAGTCAAGCACCTTGCAGTCTGTCTGAAGTCACACATGCAGGTCAGACTGTACAAGGATGGCAGATTCCCTTCTCAAACTAAATTGCAGCTGGGAGTGAGTTACAGCCTAGAATCTAATCGAGGGGTTCGGTGTGGTTTATGTACAGAATAACAGATATCCGGGAGTGAGTTACAGACTGGAATCTAATCGAGGGGTTCGGTGTGGTTTATATACAGAATAACAGATATCCGGGAGTGAGTTACAGACTGGAATCTAATCGAGGGGTTCGGGGTGGTTTATATACAGAATAACAGATATCCGGGAGTGAGTTACAGACTGGAATCTAATGGAGGGGTTCGGTGTGGTTTATATACAGAATAACAGATACCCGGGAGGGAGTTACAGACTGGAATCTAATGGAGGGGTTCGGGGTGGTTTATATACAGAATAACAGATATCCGGGAGTGAGTTACAGACTGGAATCTAATCGAGGGGTTCGGGGTGGTTTATATACAGAATAACAGATATCCGGGAGT